ACCGGTCCGCAATTCTGTACTGCAAATACGAATCGAAGCCAACTAAGGGAAGGATGGTTGGTCGAAGTGGCATTTTGAGAAGGGATGTGTACCGTTGTGGAATTACATAAATGCTGATTCCAGATTTGTCTTTCTCATCTGCAGGACGTCAGAGGGCGAGGAGTTATGAACGTTTATTGGCAAAAAATTAAAAATGGAAGTGATGCAAAAATGGTCGTAGCCTCGTTTCTAGCGCATAAATGAAGCAGTGGGAATCATGAGCACTTATGCAATAAATACTTTAGATAACATACAGCCACACTTGATTGCCTCATTTGAGCGTTAGGAAGAATTTAGCCATTGATTTGATCCAGAGAAATCACCAATTGTTTTGCTCCCGTAAACACCCCCAACCAGGGCCCGGCAGCAGGTGGCGTTTCGACTTTTTCAAAACGAGTTCCCCTTTGACTTTCAAAAATTTCTACGATTTCCTGCTTGATGCCCAATGAACGTAAATGTAAGAAAATAGCTACATCATGCCGCATAACATTTACTGTGCAGGCTAGCAAACTCGGAAACACCTGTCGACGCTTAGTTACCAGCTGGTACACTTCAAAATCATAAAACTTACTTCTTCACTCCTCCTCTCTGCTTCCGTGATATCAGCAATGAAATTTGTTTAGCAGCACAACTTTTTCCACACTTTATCACGATAAAAGCAATCAAGGTGATCTATGTAAGATGAAAAATTTACAACATCAACTTGCATCCCGCTTATCAATTCCGCATCATACTGTCAATCACATTTTCCTAAAATGATCTGAGGTTCGGCGAGTCTGCCTTAGATGACGATAGTTACGCAATGTCATTTTTTTTCGTTGTTCCATTCTTCAGCAGAGTTGTCATCAAACATGCGGGAGAAGCAACCTGGAACTTCTAGTTTCAAACGAGCTTCAGGGTCTCTAGGCTATATTACCTGCTAGTGACCATTTCCGTAAAATTTCATACCAAGATTTTGCAAATTTCGAACAGAATTAAAACTAAGTACAACATCCTCCGTGGCATGACTGATACCGAAATCAACGTAATGACTCAAAAGACACAGATAACTTCTATAAAAGAAAACAGAACACACCTCCTGCTCTCGGTAAGCATAAATGAAACATCGGAAGTGGAGAACGCTAACATCTGTTGAATTCTGCTTACCACATGAGCAGTCACAAGTCGAATCGACATGATACTGCCGCCAACAATTCTCAAGAATTCTTGATCACCAGAAGATCAAATACTTCTTGAGAAATGTGAGATATAGGGACACTGGAATCCAAACTGATATAGTGCTATGTAAAGCAATCGTAACCATAGCAGACGTTACCTTGCCCTTCGAACAGAATTTTGCCGATATCTTCTGAGATATGTTGCTTGTATGCGGTAGGGGTTCTGCACCATCAAAAAAGTTGGGAACGTTTGCAGATATGGGCGGAGAGTGTTCAGAAGCCTGAATGAAGGAAGAGCACAGACAGAAAACAAAAACTTGATGAAGTTAAAGGAAGTAATTCATGAAAATATGATGGTATTTTCCAAACTTATAGCGGCTCAATCTCAAATAAGTTCTCACCTTGTTTTCTCCACCTTTTCGAGGCCTCGATGAATTGCAGGTCCTTCATCAGAACTTTCGTGTATCATTTTCCTGCATTTTCGACGAGCCAATGAGACCTGAAGTAGAGAGATGGTCAGTATAACTCTAAAGAAAAAAATCTGAGCAATGAACTAGATCATAATAGGGAATAGTTTCGTAGGCCAATCAACACTCTACATTGAATCAAGTCTTCTGCCAAGCAGGCAAACAACTTCAAATCGTTTTGAACCCTGCGCCTTATGCGCTTCACGGCTGATAAAACATCGTGTTCGCGCCCATGGCTTCTTCGACTTCGTTCGGCAGTAAACGTTGGTTCAGGTGAAAACTAGCAGCGAGAAAGCGACTACCATGAAAAAGGCCAATAACAAAATAAGAGATCATTACATCATCATGTAATAATATCATTGCTTTTCAGAAAAGGTGAAAAGAGTAGAGTTATGAATTCCTCAAATGGCAAGTTTTGATACTCCCGGCAGCCACCTCTACTTTGAGACAGTGGCATCAAATGTCATCATCATCCACCTTTTGAACACAGGTGTGATCAAGGTATATATCATCTAAAGAGAAAACATTGACCAGACTATTTGAGTTTCCATGGATGTTCATGTATATGATACTATACAGTGTATAAGTAGCGCAAATCAGAAATGATAATGATGATAACTGACGCCGAACTGAGTATCTATACAAGTAATAGATAGATAGAAGAATAATGTAAGACAGCAAACCTCATCCTCTTCTCCATAATCTCAGAGTGACCACCAGCCCTGGGTTTCTCTCCTGTTTTCCCCTTTTTCTGCGCCGCAACGCTCGTTGCTTCTACGGAACCTTCATCTGAAATCGAAACAAATAACCATGCTTGAAAATGCTAAACAAGGACAGTCTGAGAGAAATGTAAGATGAATAAGATGAACAGAAAACTCTAGGGAGATGGTTGAAGATCCAGCTGATGTTAGTGCCGTGGGATTGGAGCGCACTTTCTAATTCTACACGCTCCCATGCAAAATCTATTTGAGGCTGTAGCAAATGTAATAGTTCATGCTTTTGGAAGCGGATTTGTGGTAGTAGTAACACTTTCAACCTAGTTTACATTTATGTCAAGAAACTCAGAAAATTATGTGAGCGTAAGCAGGGAGCCACCCCAGGTGGCTCCCAGGTGGCGCGGGAGCCACCTAATTTGGAAAAACAATTGCCATTCCCTGAGTTCACAAAAGTTTTTCATAATTTTTCATACATTGTTTCCACTCCTTGCTATCTTATCGTGCACCAAATTTGGTGTCATATCGTTACCTAATTGTTGCAAACGAGCCTAATCTTTGATTTTTCGTTCCAAAAAATTCCTATTTGAACTCCCGCGTGCTCTTTTGAGGTTGCTTGCGAACATTTGATGGGCAATGGGGCACATTAACGGCGAAGGGGGGCGAGAAAGGATACACTGCTTTGCAAACAGTGTCTGTTTTTGAAGTATAAAGCGGACATATACGTATATACTTATTGTCATTAGAACTGTAGAGTATCTTGGGTAATTCGAGATTTCTTCATCGAATGAATGAATATCGAATAAATTCGAAAATAGAAAATCTCGAAAATAAAATTTGATTGCTAAATCACTAGCGTCGATATATATGCAGGTATCTGCAATGTAGCATCATTCTTCAATTAATTTCTCCATTTCGTTTTCCTCTTCAAATTGCAAACGTCATTTGAGAAGCAAATCTTACGCCCTGTGAGAGAAATAAGTCTCAATAGAATCTTTAAATTGTGATAAGGCTTAGTAGAAAGTTTGATTCTCATACTTTGGATGGAAAATGAGTTACCCGGAAGTGATAAAAATCATGAATATCGGTCTCCTTGACTGAGTAGATTGAAGTGCCGTCTACAAACATTATATGTCGATTACTGCCTACCTTGATCGTTAAGAACAAATTCCGTAAATTTTGAAGATAGAGCTCTGATTTTGAAACTTTTTTCTTCAAAAGTAATTTTTAGTGTTCGGAGTCTATCTGGAATGCACGATAAGCTCCCTTACCTATATTGAGTTTCTTCAATTCTCTTCACTTTGAAGAATACGAAAAGTCAAGGAGAAACCCTATCCTGCTCTGTTGCAAGATCATGATACACTTCGTCAATTTTCCGAACAAATTAGAGTGTTGAAACACTCCACCGAAAATTCTCATAAATGTTTAGTGCATGAGGGTGCTGATGCATTTCTTTTGCTGTTGCACATCAAATTTTTCCGGGGCTCCGCCCCGGACCCCAAAATACGATTTTCCCTTTGCTTTTCGTGGCCAAAAACGATATCCAGCTTGTGAAAGCGCCACCTCCGCCGGGCCCTGCCCCCAACCCCTCGTCCTTGAATGCTAACACGAAGGCCACATTTGGGATCAGCGTTTTATGCCTTCAAAGATGGTATGCATCCCATCTCAAAGGGGCACTTCGATCAGCCATCCTACCCTTGTTAGAGACAAAACAAGTATTACCCACCACTCACTATGCGTTTTGAGACACTCTTCCGGTAGCGACTGCTAGAGTACTTTTTAACGATAGTTTTTTATAAGGATAGGTAACGATAACTTTCTGAGCCTAGGTCAAATACGAGTAATAGGGTGGACATTGAATCAGTTACTTTCCAAAGTGTTCTTGAACTGATTCCGGTGATTCCGGTTTCGCTTAAGCAAACGCAACAGTCCGAAACCTTGATTAGACTTTGACCTACAACTATCCAAAATTGTCATTTCGGACTCTTGAGGGACTTGATACCGAGCTAAGAATGTTTTTGGTGCTGTAATTTTTTGGGCTTTTTCATTTGGCTTTTGAGACTTCCAGGATGTTATTTGCCGTGTTCAAAGGTGTACGGTTTTGAAATCCGCGAATCGTTGAATGGAATTAGTTAACAAGCTGAGCATAATTCCTCTTCAACATTGGTTTCTCACCTTGCACCCATAGGATTTGGATTAGCAAGAATATTATAAGAGATGTCGTATAACTGTAACTTTTTACTATGCGTTTTCAAAAACGTTACACTTTGGGAAAATAATTTTGATCTCTAGAAGCCTAAAAACGTTGTTGAGACAATAGTTCGAATCATCGAAGTCGAAAAGGTACTGTTTGTCTATTACTATACTATGTGATTTGCGCGGCGGTTCAAAAACCACAATCTTTTGCACGGACTTAACCTTCATAAAATCCAGGCTTGATCTGCAAATGTCTTTAAGCCGAAGAGATTCTTCATCGAAATGTTTTATTGCGATATAAATCAAATACTACCAAGCACAACTACTACTATAAATCAAGTCTCTTAGAAACGAATATTTCTTCTCTGCTTCAGACTAAAATTTCCACCATTTGAAAGCCTTGCCTTCTCAAGGTGATCTAAGCGAATATGAAGTGGCTAGTCTTCTTTATACTTCTCGCTCAGGTAGGTCTTGTTTTACTGAGTGTTGGTTTTCAATCAAAATGTTTTCTTTTAGACAAAGGAGGTTTTACCGTGCATTTTTGACAAGGTGGATAAACTTCCTGGCATCGACAGTAGTGTGTACCCGTTTAGAGGGGACGAGAATGAATGTTTCGCTACGTGCTATAAAACCAAGAACTGCGCCGCTATTTCGTATGCGAAGGTCAGTATCTGAACTGTGACGAATTTGAAAGCAAGATGCGATCGGCTGTTTGTATAACCATATAAAGGCTACTGCATGACGAAGGCGCAGAAGCAGTACTAATTGAGCGGGTTAATAAAGCCGCGTTAGTGCTCAACAATACTGCGCCTTCGTCATGCAACAGCCTATAACTACATCAACAATTGCTTTGTCGCATTGATCTCGAAACTGCACGCGAGTTGCGCTGCGGATGCTTCGAAACAGCAGCAAACATTCCAAAGTATTTTGGTCTATATCGCGTCTGGGAAGCCTTGTTGGCACCATCGTCTGTAAATGCAATACTCAAACAACCTGCATAATTCAATCATATAACTTCTTTCTCTTAAAGGCACCGTCCACCCAGATTTTCGACTTCCACGTTTTTGTCGCTTCAGGGCCTTCTCATGTCCCTGATTCCAAATATGAAGTCGAGAATGCGCGAAAACCCCGACAATCCCCGTTTCGGAGAACCCGCAGGCCGGCTTTTCGGAACGGTGATTGGATGGGCGCGCACAAATGGGAGGGCATGGATGGGGAGGGGCGGGCATGGATGGGAGTCCTCGTGCATCTTCGCTATTCCGAAGCGATTTTCTCGCTTCTGAAGCGGCATTTTGCGCCGCAACTTGGTCAATGGATTGATAGGGGGCTCTAGTATTGAATGCTGCCAAAAGCTCAACACCCTCAACTTAGGTGGGCGGTGTCTTTAGAGTCTGGCACAAACTTTTTTTTTCAAGAAGCTTCTGATTCAACACATACTAGACAAGTATCGCTCAAAAAATGATTGAGGCAGAGCTGATCAGTTAAACTGGAGCTACTTTCACATCTGGGAACACCTTTTGGACTGCGAGCACGCGCTGCGAAGAAGCCTTCACTTTCCGTCGTTAGCCAGCAAAGAAACCCCATTTCATTGAGAGGTGGCCAGCTTGTCAAATGAGCTCCATACAGAAAATCACGGGAAAATTCGAAGTTTAGGTACCACGTAAGGATTGCTGTGATAGTTTGGAGAATAGAAACAAGACTTCAGTTTGGTACAAAGGTATCTTTTAACGTGAGCAGTAAAATGGAACACAGAGAATGACAGTAGATTTCTCAAGTAAAAGTGATGAACTTCCCAATTTTTACAGTCAGAATATATTATTCTTTCCATACAAAACCTATATAAGGTCGCTAACACACCTAATGAATTTTGTATTTGCCGGATTGCAAAGTAATGCTTCGACGGATTACAAACTCCGAGCATTATCTGCGCAATGAAAACATGTGAGACCATCCAAAGTACCACTGCTGCAATGGGTGATGGAACAGTCACCAATCACACGATGGCTTGCTGACCTCAACGATTAATGTCAGTAGATATGTCACAGCAGTTTCGAGAACGAAAGCACGTGTTATTTACTTTTTCAAAGGTAAACGCATGTTGTCTAAGAACCATCCGGTAGAGTTTTTTAAGCTCTGTGCATCCACTCAGATAATCGCCTGGGGGAGGCGGTCCGCAAACTGCGCTTTTCTGCAAGAGGTCAGCAAAATTTGGGGGCGTTGCCAAACCTTAAGCGAGCGGTACTTCCGTGTTCTTCAAGCGGACAAAATTTTCTGCAGGCGCCCGAACTCTTTTTACGCAGTTTCGGGCGTACGCCGGGTGAAGATAACACTCTAAATAACAGAGGTTCACCGATAATTCTTACCCGACTCGGGGCACTTACTTCCAGCGAGGTACCTAGGGGCTGTGCGGTTCTTCGCAAGGGGCCGTGCGTTCCTCAATAATTTCGCACATTCTCGTGGAAGGTCCGCGAGAATATGCGAAATTTTTGAATTATTGAGGAACACAAGGTCCTTTGTGAAGGACCGCACCGCAATTGTTCTCCGAGCATTCGTCTAAAATTTCGTCAAAATTCTTCCAAATATCTGCAAGCGGACTGCAAAAAATCAGAGAACTATTTTGGCCGCCTGCCCCGCGCTTATCTGAGCGTAAGCAGTTTACCCTTATTTCCGTCTATCTTCAAAAAATTTAGGTTGAAACATGATCTTCTGTTTTATTGCGCCAAAAAGTAGCAATTTTTCAAGACTTTGCTTTTTATCTGGGAATAAAAAGGAATCCTACCTTTTTGATATTCTGGTATGTCAGCTGTTTTATAACAAGGTGTAGCAGATTGAGAGATGATCAAACGCTCAGGATTGTGGGAGATGAAATACCGTTCCTCTCGAGCGTGGCTTAACGGCTCAAAGGCAGCAGGTCGGCAGAATGAGACCCGTGGCAAAACAAAGTCACAGGGTAGGAGCCCCCGTAATGGAACCTCTGGGCCAATGTTCGATCGTTCTCTGCCACTTCTAACCCCCGAAATTTCAAAGCGAAAGCAGCTCTCATTTCCTGTCCTCTTCGAAAACGCCCACCCCATGGACGAGTGAACGGGAAGCCCGTCATGGCAAAGAGTCGTTGCGGGACCTCATGCTTATAGCGTTGCGGCTGACGCTCTGACCGCGGAAGTCACTCGCCCATGGGGTGGGCGGGTTCGGAGAGGACAGAAGCTCTGCTTCCGCTTTGAAATTTCGGGGGTTAGAAGTGGCAGAGAAAGATCGAAGTTTGGCCCATAGGTTCCATTATGGGGCTCCTACCCTACGACCTTGTTTTGCCACGGCTCTCATTCTGCCGACCAGTGTCCAGGCAAAAAGTCGATTTTGAGATTTTGTGCTTATTGGGGCCTATTCGCTATGCTGAATTCGAAAATTCACACTGGGAAGCGCGAAAACGCCCAAAAAGGGCTCTAACGTAGGCGTGAAATTAAAAAGGGGCGGGGTCTTCCCCACTGCGAACTCACGTTCCCGGCTTCCGGAGCGACCTTCTCGCTTCCGGTTTCAAGTCAGTCATTCGCACTTGGCCGGTAGCGATGTTAGAACGGCTAGCGGAATCGAGAAAATCGCTCCGGGAGCTGGGAGCGTGAAATCGCACTGGGGAAAGCCCGCCCACCTGCTGATTCCCTCCTATATTAGAGCCGCTTTTCGCCGTTTTCGCGCTTTCCAATGTGGATTTTCGGATTCAGCATGGCGAATAGGCCCGTATAAGCACAAAACTGCCTTTAACGCGTTACCATAATGATAAGCGAATGTCGCCTATGTAAGCGACGTTTGAGTTCCTGCTTGTTGGGGATCGAAACAAATATTTCAGAATGATAAAACAAATTAAGCTGTCCCATTTTTTGCCGTTCACCCTAGTATTTTGATAAGTTGCACATGGTACTCGTCACTATGGACATTGGTTTTGGCTTAGAAATCAAAGCAAACGAAAGCTGCGACGTTCTCACCTCGTTTGTCAGACTATCTAGCAGCTGCTATTCACCTTGTCATTGTATGTCCCAAACACAATAGACAGCTCTTTAGTCAACTCTAAACGCGAACCTAGCTTTTCAACTTGATATCCTTGGACCATGACAAAACTCACACTGGAAATCAAGATGAGCCTACAAAATCGCGTACTGCACTATTTGTGGTCGATTCGAAACGCCACATGGTTATCCCGTAAATCCGTTTCTGTAACACTGTCATTTCATCTATCGCGAAGCATAGATGAGATACAGCTTGTGAAACATGTGCATACGAAACATGCTCTAAGTACGTTCCACCATAAAAAATAGTCCCCCTATTATTTTAGAACTTGAGTTTCCTGCGGTAAGTAAACTCTGAGCGATGTTCACCTCTACGTCGTAAAAGTTAATTACCTAGTTTATGACACTATGTTACAGAGCTCACAGTTGTGCATAGTGTATCCTGCTGGACAAAGCACATTGAACTGCCCTAGCGGCAACTGCTACTTTCTTCATCGCGATGATGTGGATCCTGTGTGCAAAAAATATGTGTACTTCTGAGGAGGATGACCGATGTTATTCATATCATCGCAATTCTGGAGTGCTGTATGTAGCATGATGGATGAAATAAAACTTTGCATGTTTGTCTTTCAAGGATGTCACGATAACGTGGAAGCTGGAAATCATACGGAAGTATCACTGGTGATTCGCGAAATTTTCTTTGGGAAGATAAAAAAAAATTTTGAATGAAGAGGCTTGGCGTTTTCCACGCCTTTCAAAAAAAAATTTGAGTCTTTCCAAAATTGGCGGGTAAACAGCTTCAAAATTTCAGAAAGAGAAACGAGGTGGCAGCGATTTCTTGTCAAGCTAACTATGTATTTTGATTTTCTTAGGGTTTGGCGTACTCTGATTATCTTATATATAAAGCTGAATGTCTGTTTGTATGTATGTATGTCTGTATGTCTGTCTGTGTGTACGTATGTTCCGAATAGAAAATTCCATTTCTGAACCGATCCGGACCAAACTTGGCACACATACACTTCGGGCCCCGGCGCGTGTCATAGGCTACTTTTCGTCATCGATCGATATCGATTTTATCGATTTTTATGGATTTTTTTGCTGAGTTCACCTACGGGGCTGGGAGTTGGCACAGGGGGGTAATCGAGCATGGGGATTCCGAATACAATATTGGTTTTCAGGATTATCGATTACTTTTATCGATTTTATCGACTTTTTTGCAAAGTTTCAGCTACGGGGCTGGGAGTTGGCACAGGGGGGTAATCGAGCATGGGGATTCCGAATACAGTATTGGTTCTCAGGATTATCGATTACTTTTATCGATTTTATCGACTTTTTTGCAAAGTTTCAGCTACGGGGCTGGGAGTTCGCACAGGGGGGTAATCGAGCATGGGGATTCCGAATACAATATTGGTTTTCGGGATTATCGATTACTTTTATCGATTTTATCGATTTTTTTGCAAAGTTTGAGCTAGGGGGCTGGGAGTTGGCACAGGGGGGTAATCGAGCATGCTGATCATCCACAAGGGGGGTGATCAGCATGCTCGATTACACCCCCTGCCAAATTACAGCCCCCTAGCTCAAATTTTCAAAAAATCGATAAAATCGATAAAAGTAATGGACGATCTTGAAAACTAACATTGTATTCGTAATCTGCATGCTCGATTACCCCCCTGTGCAAACTCCCAGCCCCGCAGGTCAAACTTTACAAAAAAATCGATAAAATCGATAAAAGTAATGGACGATCCTGAAAACTAATATTGTGTTCGTAATCAGCATGCTCGATTACCCCCCTGTGCAAAATCCCAGCCTCGCATGTCAAAATTTACAAATAATCGATAAAATCAATAAAAGTAATCGATAATTCTGAAAACTAATATTGTATTCGGAATCCCCATGCTCACTTCCCCCTGTGCCAACTCCTAGCCCTGTGGGTGAACTCTGCAAAAAAATCGATAAAAATCGGTAAAATCGACATCGATCGATAACGAAAAGTGGACTGTGACACCCGCCGGGGCCCGAAGTGTATGTGTGCCAAGTTTGGTCCGGATACGGCGGAGCCGGGTAAGCCAGCTAGTTTATCAGTAAAAACAAGATTTGGACAGTTGACTCAGGTGGTTGTAAGCAATGCAAGCCCCACCTCCTCCCTCAGAGAATGGACCGAAATGCATATGACAGACCTTATAACAGAGCAAGCGGAAAAAGGTCAAAGTTGTCTAGCCATCAGCAAAGGTGAAGCTTGTGCGTTTGTGTAGGTAAATTCTTCCCATGAAACATATTGGTAAAACTACGCAATGTATTAGAAACTTGATGCAGGAGTTGTTTAGACTTGAATCACCTGCTCGTCTCTAAAAATGGGGTGAGGGAACCTGAATACTTCCAAAGGCATGCCTCCATGTAGTTAGCGGAGTTCATGAGGGGTTATGAACTTGCAGCAACGTTAATTTGCATCCAATGTGCACCGAAGACGAGCAAAATTCTGCACGCGGTAAGTATGCCATCTCCTAAAGTTTATAAAACCGGGATTTTGTCGAAATTCGAGTTCAAAATTCAGTAGTGGTCCTTAGTCCCATTGGGGTATGGGTATAGAATCTCCGCACAGGGCGCGGAGAGTGCGCAGGGTGCCTGCTGCGCGTTGCTCCTCCTTCCTCGTGCACTCTCGCCGCTTGTTTTCTCTGCGCCCCCTCCAGTCATGAACTATCTTCAAACACAATGCCGTTGCTCTCTGAGCACAGGCGGACGGCTTATAAAAATTTTATCTACGGATAATCTTTCATGCTGTCTCCGGATATGATGATCGTTTTGCTTGATTTTTCATTTTATTTCTAAAACCTTCGTAGAAGTCTTTTTTTTTGTTTTTCGATCTCAACTATCGCTTGAAGAAAATAATTTAGTTGCATACGGATTCATCTTATATGTAAAGCTGAATGTCTGTTTGTATGTCTGTCTGTATGTCTATCTGTCTGTGGTACGTATGTTCCGAATAGAAAATTCCATTTCCGAACCGATCCGGACCAAACTTGGCAAACATATACTTTTCGTCATCGATCGATATCGATTTTATCGATTTTTTGCAAAGTTTGAGCTACGGGACTGGGAGTTGGCATAGAGGGGTAAGTGAGCATGCTGATTATGAATATGTTAGGTTGTCCCGAAAGTTTTCTCCGTTTTTTCAGCGCTCACTAAAACTCACAGAGCACTAATCCATGGATGATTTAGGCACTATTTGATTCAGATTTTTATCCTCTTTTTTACAGGCGTATTCGCTTTCTGAACTACCCTGTCTTTGCGATGTTATCGCCATGGTTTTTGAGCAGTCTAGGGTGATGCCAAATCTTCCCTAAATTTTAACAATTTTTGTCCTGATGTTTTCAAAGAGCACTGGTGACTGTTATGTAGAGCAAACCTTTGGCTATATTGTACACATTTGAGATTTTATGGGACGTTTATCAAGTCCGTTATAATTATTTAATTGATGAAAACCGCGGTTTTTTGACCATGTTTACCACGTAAAAATACCAAAAAGTTGCTTTTTCAAAGCAAATCAAACTTAGTTATGTTGCATAAATAATGTTTAGTAAGAATCATGTTTCAGTTCGCAGAAACTTCAGATTTCGAGATTTGCCGCCAGATCAAGAGATTTCGTGTATTTGCCGCAGTTGCGTGTTTCATGACTTTGCCAAAAACGGAGACCTCCGAAGAAATTATTTTTTGAAGCTTAAGCAGCAGATTAGGAGAATCTAGAAATATATCCTTGTAGTCCGAGAACTGCTCTGATTGATCCATACTTTATCCTTTCCGAAACTTTGGAATGAAATTTTCAAAAATTAGCCCAACTTTGAGCAGATGAAATTGACAAATGGAGAATTTTGGCAATTACCAAAAAAAAAAGAATACAAGATTGTGGTTTGCAAATGTATCCCTAAGAAAGAGAAGGAAAAGCTGCATCGAATGCATGTTGAAACTCATTCAGATCTTTATTGTGCGTGGTTTCATAGTGGTTTGAAAAAACGGACAAAAGTTTCGGGACAACCTAATATTACCGACAGGGCCGGGCGGAGCCGGGTTTGCCAACTAGTTTTGAATATTTTTCTGAACGTAGCAGAATTTTTTCGTTTTTTTCCGAGTTTTCAAATCTGAAGTGAAGTCTGTGTAAAAAGGTTGTGAAAAAGAATTCCGAGGTTTCAAGCACCACCAGCATTTTCGAAAATAGCGTGTGATAATGCCTCAAATATCTTTCTTAAGTTGCAGCGGAAAAAAATGAAAAATCTACGAAAAAATTGAAATTTCGAGTGGAAAAATTTCAAAGTTTCAGCAAAACCGTTAGCAAACTCGGAAACAGCATCATAGAAATTGGTTGGACAGCAGTTTTGATTTGCTGGAAAATTGTTGGAAACAAATTAAAAAATTTTAAGGTTCCCAGCTAAACCACTATTATATTCAAAAACAGCATGGCAAAGTGCCCCCTAAATACATTAATCAATTGCAGCAGAACTACTGAACTTCGAATTCAAATTTCGACAAAATTCCGATAGCCTGTAGGATGATGGCAAAGTTACCGTGTGCAGAATTAGCTCGTCTCTGGTGCAGATTGCTTGAGCGCTGCTGCCAGTTTGTGACCCTCATGAACTCCGCTAACGACGTGTCGGCAAGCCTTCCGGGGTATGTAAGTTCCGTTCCCCTTAAAAATGACATCGTTGCTAATTATGCTGATCCGCTGCATTGCCAAATCAACTGCAATCAAGTCATCCCTCATGGCCTGGAGTGTTGCAATGTAAACAGAATAAGATCATCGAGGACTTTTGGAACTTACATGTTGAGAGAATCCACATATGGTTTCAAATCTAGATAACTTGCAGTCACATTGTTCATAAACACATGTTACCAACTGATAATGTGGAGTCCTCCTCAACAAACAAATGTAATGGTTTTCTTCCACGAGCTTATAAAATCTATTAGTTGGCTTACCCGGTCTCAAACTCTCAACAACTCTCCCTCCGCAACGCTGAAAGGGGACTTTAGGGTGGGAGACGAGAGGTAATTTTCTCCGTCGCGCCGGATGTTTCCAGCTTGTATATAAAAGATCTAAAAAGGATATAAGAGCTATAATGAAGTACGGAAATGTTGCGCTCATCATTGTGAGGATAGAAGCTTCAGACAACAAAAATGCCCAAAATAGTCCTACTAGAGAACTGCTATGGAAAAGCAATGGATTTTTTATACGGTGCTTTCCCAAGTATACGCTGCGAAATAAGAACTGGGGTTCTGGCCTCTTGCCACAAGAAGGCTATTAATTTGTTAATAGCTCACTAGATTCTGCCTGCATGCTCAAACAGGAAGGCTCTCAGCTACTCATTGTCAGAAACTGCATGACAGGCTTAGTTTCTCATTTGCATGGTTAAGGGCTGCAAGATAGAATAAAAGGTGTCATCGCGCACAGGCGGGGGCAACTGGCGTTGTCGTGTCTCTGAGATAAACGCATTTTCACCCTTTCATTCTTCTATTCTCTCCCGACG